CACTAAGTAAGGCTCCGAAGGAGTGGCAGACAGAGAGGAGCTGCAGTGGACGCTGGTCATTTCACACGATCCACAGACCCGCTAACGATCTGTGAGAGGGAAGGCTAGCCTTCCTCCTCAGAGACAGGGACAGCGCTCTCGGAGGAGACACGTCATATGATGCACTTCACGTCAGAGAGGGAGGCGTATTCTAGAGGGCAAACCTCACTCGGGGGCCCGCGTTTGTACCCAGAAAGATAGTGCTGTACGAGGAGAGATGCCAGGTGGGCGACACCCCGTTTCAGACAGAGAGAGCATTCCCTGAGGAGAAACGTGGGATCCTGGGCCTTGACCTCAGAGAGGTCAGCAGCTCTCTTTGCAGACAAGGCCTGGTGGCTTGTCTTAACTTGTCTTAAAGTTAAGAGCTTTCTCTTAACTTCCTGTCTTTCTTTTTGTCTTTTCTCCATCTTCTTCTGCCTCTGAAATGTACTGGACTTGAGCTACAAGCTCGAGGCAAATGGTGGACAGGCCTCAGGCCCTGGGCTTCCCAGGGCGCGTCGGGCAAGCAGAGGAGCGTGGCTGCCGGCGGGGGATGGTGTTCGCCCCAGGTGTCCTCGGGCAGTGCAGCAGGGGCCCCAGGTCACTTGGGGGCGCTGTGCCGTGTCCCAGCAGGTGCCGTGTCAGCCAAGGCCTGAAGGGCGAAGGCTGGGCGTGGGTGAGCATCGCCAGGGCCTCGGAAGCAGAAGGTACCAAATCCAGGAGGTAGAAGATCAAAGGAAGTCCCAGAGCTTCAGGCGCCTGGGCGGGTTGGAGCTTAGCAAGGGGACAGCTGGAGCGGGGGTCACCCGGGTTCTGGTGTGAGGGGTCTCGTAGTCCATGTTGGAGCGGCTCAGGGCCCCACGTGAGGACAGGCAATAGCCCTTGGAGACTTTGGGGCAGAAGTGAGGGTCGGGGCCTCGGAAGGTCTGGTCTGGCTGCAGACTCCCGAGTTTGGAGGATCCTTATTTCACCCCCAAGAGAGGGATGTAGCCCGGGACCATGGGTGGATTTCTGAGCTTCCGGCCTTGGCTTCCCTGACTCCTCCGTACGTGATGGGGCTCTACTAGGTTCTTCCGGAGGCGATGGCATCATTTGCGTTTCAGGGAGGCGGGTTCTGTCCCAGAAGAGGAAGTTGACAGGCTGCGCTAGTGCAACACGATCGTCAACGTGTACGGCCTGTGGCCCACTTTGGAGAGTTTTCGTGTTGTTTTGTTAAAATTCCATCGCAGCCTTTTCCTGCTGCATCGCCTCCAAGGCCGGCGTGGGTTTCAGAAGGCAGAGGATTGCTCTGGAAGTGTGAGCAGGCGGGGCTTGGCCCGAGAGATGGTCCATGGTATGAGCACAGTCACCTCCACAGCACGCGGTTGTCGCAGGGTAGGACCTGGTGGCGACAATCTCCTTCAGAGGCAGGTGAGGGAGCAAGCTTGTCACCTCTCTCTGCAGTTTACCTGTGTTCAAAGACCCCAAGACATGGGGAGGGCAAACATGTTCGTCTGAAGAGTCCAGATGAACCTGACAAAGATTATCGACATTGAACTCGGCTGAGGGACTGTTGCACCCTTGAGGGGTTTAAAAATCCACTCAGGCTATAATTGTACAGGGAAAGACCTTGTGTAAATGGGTCCGTGTGTATGCATGTCTGTATTCTGATCACTAAATTACTCCACCCACTGGTATTCAAATGTGATGTGTACTATTTCCACGTTGAAAAGCAATCTCAAATCATTCTATGTCTTACTTGAATCGAGAAGTTTCCACCATTAACTAACAAAATTAATCACCCGTAGAGGCCCAATGCTCTATCATTCACAAGGAATTTGAACTCAGCGGACACAAATATATGCCCACATTTCAAATGAGGAGCCTGACAGGCATGACGGTTGCAGGACTGGAATTTGGGGTTTTGACTCCTCAGTCAAGAGTCTTTCCATGACACTGTGCTCCTTATCAGGAGATGGTTTTGTTAAATGACCTCTTGGGCCCCTTTTCCGTCTACGATTCTGTGTCTGAGGGGCAGGGCCAGGCAGGCGAATACTTGTCGTGGAGACTCAGGGTCCAGGAGGGCTCTTCAGGGCTTCTCCCAGCCTTGTTTCTCTAGTTCTGCTGCCTATGGTGGGGGAGCAGGGAGCCCCGAAAATGAATGGGTCACGTGCTCAGCTGTGAGGCTATGTAATAGGGCAGAGCTAGTAAGGTCTTTGTGCCACTCTCTGACCAGTTGTGAGAGAAAAGGGGGGATGCAGGCTTTAGGCTGTGACAGGGATGCGGCAATCGTCACAGTGTGGTGTCCCCAGTCCCCTGGTGGCTCCCACGTCCTGTCCTTGGGGCAGAAAGGACAGCAGTGGTAGATGGAAGATTGGTGTTTGAGGCTTGGATTAATTTATTCATTTCTTCACCTCTTTCACACTGACTGTTATTGGCTGGTCACTAAAGTTCCATAGAGGAGTAGGACCCAGACCTGTCCTGAGGCTTTCACAGGCCAGCGAGGAAGCAGCCATGTAAATAAGTAACAGCAGCACAGTGACAGATTCTAACATGGGGGGCACCGACGAGCCTGTGGGGGCACAGAGCTCCAGCAACAGATTCCGCTGTGCAGTGTGCGGGGGGGAGCCGGGAGGGTCCTGAGTGGAGGGACACTGGAGCCCGCTGGAGTGGAGGGAAGGACTGCTCTGTCCTTCCTAGCTGCTACTGGCCATCTCAGAAGAGGAAGCTGAGTCTTTGAGAGGCACAGTGGGAGATAATTATACTTAGCTCAGAAAAGGGAGCCGTGGGGGATGTATAAAGACTTTCCAGTATGAACACTGGACCCCTGTGGGACCCAGTTGGGCCCCTCTGTCTCTCACCGGCTGCCTGGGGCCCAGGATCTCGCCACCAGGAACAGTCCAGGCCCTCCTGGGGCCAGTAGAGGGTCCCGGCTCCCAGCTCCACTTCCACCCAGAATCCCAGGCATGCCCCTGCCCCCCTGCCCTGGCCCCAGCTATCCCTGATCACCGATGAGGCACTGATTCTACACCCACATGCTAAGCTGTCATGGCTCTCAGAGGTCTAGACCAGCTACCTCATTTTATTTTTGAGGAAACTAAGGTCAAGTGAAGGGACTAGAGGCAGAACCAGACACAGGTTCCCCAGCATTCTGGGCCCTGGCCCATTCCTTTGTGTGTGTGTGTGTTTTTAGTTGTTAGTGGACAGAGAGATGCCCATGGAATGACAGGACTCTTGGCTGTGTATGTGTCTGCCTGTCCTGAAGCACGAAGACCTGACGTGTTTCACCTGGGAGCAAAAGCTAAGCCTGTTTCAAATCCCTTCCCAGGCAGGCATTCCCTCCAAGGCCGGCACTGCTCCATCCTTTGAAGGGACGACAAAGGGCTCCACAGAGATGCCTGTGATTAAGAGACTCCACTCCATGCAGCCCCACGCGTCTGTCTGATTCCATTTAGAAAACAGCCACGAGTAAGTTTAGGAGTGCCTGGGGAGAGGCCGAGGCATTATACCAAATGTTCATTGAAACTTGAGCTGGGAATCAAGACAGGAACCAGAAGGAGATTTTCTTGGTGACTCTTAAAGTAAGTTCAGCTTATCTGTGAGCAAACTGGCAGTGAACAGAAATACGGAAAGAAGGTATCCTACCACGCTCTGTAATTAGCCTAGAAAGAGCTTGGCTCCTGGTCTCCAACATCAGGACATTTGCTTTTATTATTCTTTTACATTTCCTACTTGTAATGAATGTTCATTGCTCTTTGCATGACTGGTTCAACGATATGGTATGAGTGACAACTTCCAGCAGGATTTGGAGAAACGCAAAGGACCACGGGCTGAAGCGGCAAGGAATCTTCACGAACAAGAGCCCTGCCTTCTTTGTTCACTCAGATATATGTTCTTCAGAGGTAACATAGAACAATGGGCACTTGATTGGTCAGATATGCCAGGAATCCACTTACGAACCGCTCACCTGGGGAAGTTCACTTAGCCTCTGATTTTCAGGAATCCACTTAGGAACCACTCACCTGGGGAAGTTCACTTAGCCTTCTGATTTTCAGGAATCCACTTACGAACTGCTCACCTGGGGAAGTTCACTTAGCCTCTGATTTTCAGGAATCCACTTACGAACTGCTCACCTCGGGAAGTTCACTTAGCCTTCTGATTTTCAGGAATCCATTTAGGAACCGCTCACCTGGGGAAGTTCACTTAGCCTCTGATTTTCAGGAATCCACTTAGGAACCGCTCACCTGGGGAAGTTCACGTAGCCTCTGATTTTCAGGAATCCACTCACGAACCGCTCACCTGGGGAAGTTCACTTAGCCTCTGATTTTTATTTCCTTTCCATCCCTAAAATGGAACTGCCTCAACCTGACTATATTCTCCATTAGATTGTGTGTTAATCAGCTGAGATAACCTAAGACTAAATGTTTGAAAATTTAAAAAAATCCTATTTACATGTGACTTATTGTTATTATTTCTTGAGGAGTCTATGGAAAGGGCACAAGGCACATTATAGTCTGGGAATAAGTAGGATGAAGCTGGGATTGGGTTTGATGAGAGGAAAGATGTCATTTGGTGGAAAAGAGACCAGTAGATTGGCTGCATTTCTGTCTCTCTGAAGATGAGATCAGCTTGGTTTCTGGTCTACCCTATTTGTGGGTAGGTAAGAGACAGTCCCTGGACCAGGGAAAGGAGGTGGATATTATAAAATTCTGAGACTCTTTTTTTTTTTTTTTTTTTTTAATGCGGTATGTGGGCCTCTCACCACTGTGGCCCCTGGACCCGCAGGCTCAGCGGCCATGGCTCACAGGCCCAGCCGCTCCGCAGCATGTGGGATCCTCCCAGACCGGGGCACGAACCCGTGTCCCCTACATCGGCAGGCGGACTCTCAACCACTGCACCACCAGGGAAGACCCTCTGAGACTCTTTAAAAAAAAAAAAACAGAAAAAGACAAAGTAGGTAAACTTTTAGGAAAAATCTTTTATAAGACCTTCACCACTGGCGCTGGAGTCATTCAACAAATATTTATTGAGCACCTACTACAAGCCACACATTCTTCTAAGCCCTTAGGATACCTCAAGATCCCATCTGCCTCTGGAAGCTTACATTTTAGGTGCTAGATCCACCATCCATCTCTGGTTTATTGTATTTATTTATTTTTTCTTCCTCTGTATGTGGTATGCAGCACCTATTCCAGGGATCAGAGCAGATTTCAGCTTTTTTCTCACCAGAATAGCAGAAAAAAAGTCTGCAGGTTCCATGTTGCATGAGACAGATAACATTTCTAATTGCAGGTGGAATGTCCCCTATTGATACAATAAATTAGAGCTGATATTTAGTTCACATAGCAAAAGAATAAAGCATGACCCCAGCCCACAGGCCAACTCCACACGGTTATTATATGCTTAAAAAAATGAAGTGTCTGGACAGGTTCCAGTTTAACTGGGCTTCAGTTTCTTAGCTTTAAAACAGGGACAATAATCCATATCTCAAAATTTTGTCAGGAAGATATACATAATACGTATATTTTTATATGTTATTGTACTGTATCAGGCTTCTCAAGCTTCCTGGTGATGGATGTGAGCTAATGCAACAGGGAGAAGCAGAGAGAGTTTTGGAGAACAGAGTCGAATGATTGGATGGGTGGGTCTTGGTCTCTAGGAAAATAGGAAATCGTTCTGATTCTCAGCTTGTGGCCTAATTTTCAGCTTTACAGCCTACAGTGAAAAAAAGAAAAGAAAACCGAGCTCTCCTCACCATAACTTGTGGACTTGTAGGTCAAGCACAACTACCCAACGTTCCCATAAGGAAAGCATTTTCTATTTGTCACAAGAAAAAAAAAAATGGAACTACATGTGGTGATGGCTGTTGGCTAGACTTCTTATGGTAATTATTTTGCAATATCTACAAATATTGAATCATTATGTTGTACACCTGAAACTAATGTAATATTATATATTGATTATATCTCAATTTTAAAAAAGAAAGCGTTTTCTATTTGGGAATGAGATGGTTGAAAGAAAGGTCTTATGTCAGGTCTGCAAATGCCAATCTATCATGACTCAGAAAACCAAAACACCCACCGTGTTGGTCTTACATGATTTAAAAAACAACCTTGCGCAATATCTCAGCTCCAAATGGGGTGTACTCTCTGATGCCATGTCATCTCAGCTCTGTCATGGCTTTTTGGGGAGGACAGCCGAGTGAAGAGATGGGCTGCACATCTAATGAAGATCAAAGCAGCACAGACTAGGGATCTGGAGACCTGGACTGGCCTTCCTTCTTCCGGTAACTAATGATTTCTCCTTGGACAACTCATTTACCTGGCTATGGCTCAGTTTTCCTCTGTAAAATCGGCTCTCTGTGAAAGCTGGAGGAATGCCAGTGTCAGGATGAATAAACTGCTATGACTGTGATTGTCAATTGCACCGCAGGACAGTGGCGTTTCTCGGGAGCGTGGTTTCCTCTCTCTGTAAAGTGTGGGGTTTCCATAGAAGAGCATTCATTCCCTTCCAGCTCTGACATCTGTATGACTGTCATTTCTTTCCGCAAACTTTTCTCAGACTGTGATGAATGCTTCCTATTTGTATCGGAACAAAGTTGACCCTTTGACTTGGGTTATGACCCTGAAAACTCATACTTAGCTTTTAAAAACCTCTTTATAGGGGAGATCAAAATGGTCCAGAGCTGAGCCCCAAAGGGGTCCACCTGCACCCAACAACACACAGATACACACCCAATCCCCCCTCCACGGACACACAAATCAATGAAATTCCTGTACTGCCTTCCTTAGGCTCTCCCAGCTCATCCCTCCTGGCTGGGAGCAGCTTCCTACCTTAACCAGGAGATATTTACCTGAGTTCATTTGGACCAAACAGAAGAGAACAGCGAACAGAAAGAGGACCTTCATGTTTTAAGGTTCCCTCAGGTCTCCCCGCCCTCCTGTGCAGAAAAGCAAATCTGATGAGAGAGCCAAGTGGAGTGGAGAGGAGAGGGACAAAAATAGGACATTTATAGGTTTTTGGGAACACTACTCAGGAATGAGCACATTTATCTGGTCTACTGACTAAGGCCGTGGGCAGAAGTTACTCAGATACCTGGATTCCTTGACCCCCAAATCCTATACAGTCCTGGCTCCTTAATCTGTGTCCAGTTCCCACAGATCTGACAGGAGTGAGCTGAGCTCAGGTTACGTGATCGTGATCGCAGCCCTGGAGAGCTGGAGGACCAATGGGCGGGGCTTCCCACCTCTTCCCCCCATATGAGCCCCAAGGTGTTCACTGTTCCCCTGCCTAAGAGAATGTTAGCTTCTAGAAGTTAAATCCACTTGAGTCCATATATCTACTATTAAAAACAAACAAACTTAAAAGTTGAAGAAACTTGTATTAGTCACAGGAGAACCAGATGGGTTTTTCTATGGAAATAATCTTTTGAGAAATTGCTGCAGCATGAATAGCTGGAATTCAGGCTTGCCAAATTCCCTCCAGTGTGAACTTCAGAATTTTCAAAGAAAATAGAAGAGATTTTAACTCACATATTTCACATTAAAAATATTAAGGGTATAAATGAGGCAACTGAAATTTGAAAATACAGTTTTACTATGCTTTCTGATGTTCACATGAGAGAACAGATATTCCAGTCAAAGGTATCTGGGAGTAATAAAAATTGATTTTTCACTAGTTAAAAGCAAAATCCACATATCTCCTAAAAAGCACACTTTTTACAAGCCTCATTATCCATACTTGACACAAAGCATTCAGATAGAAAATGAGGGGACTTCCCTGGTGGCACAGTGGTTAAGAATCCGCCTGCCAATGCGGCGGGTTCGAGCCCTGGTCCGGGAAAATCCCACATGCTGCGGAGCAACTAAGCCCGGGCGCCACAACTACTGAGCCTGCACTCTAGAGCCCGTGAGCCACAACTCCTGAAGCCTTGGTGCCACAACTACTGAAGCCCGCCCGCCTAGAGCCCGTGCCCCGCAACAAGAGAAGCCACCGCAATGAGAAGCACACGCAGTGCAATGAAGAGTAGCCGCCGCTCGCCGCAGCTAGAGAAAGCCCATGCACAGCAATGAAGACCCAGTGCAGCCAAAAATTTAAAAAAAGGAAATAGAAGACGAAAACATAGATTAAAAGATCTCATTTTAGGACTTCCCTGGTGGTCCAGTGGTAAAGACTCTGTCTTCCAATGCAGGGGATGCCACAACTACTGAGCTCGCGTGCCTCAACTAGAGAGCCCACGCCGCAATGAATGGTCCCGCACGCTACAACTAAGACCCAACGCAGCCAAAAATAACAATAAATAAATATTTAAAATAAAATATCTCATTTTTCAAATTAAAAATACTTTAAAAACAATAAATAAAAAATACTTTCAGGTAACTGCGGTTATAAAGAAAACTCTGAAATTACAATATATTAAGACAATAACGACTTAAGCAATGTGTGGGATGTCCTTCACGTCTCAAATGTATCACAGGACTCACAGGACACGCTCCCAAAAGGGATTTTTGACTTAAATCATTTTCTATTTTTTGAGAAGGAAAGGTCTCCGCATTCAGCACAAGTGGCCTCCCAACTCTAAGCTTTTACCTTGAAGCACCGTCAACATCTTACTTGAAGGAAGGTGTGCGCACCGCCCCTCGCCAGACGCGGGACGCCCTCCCGCCCACGCGGAGAGTCAACTTCCCTGCGCGGCTGTACCCACTGACCGGAAACTCCCTGGGGGCGGGGCGGAGGGCGCAGGTCACGGCCCCACGCAAGCCCCTCCTCCCTGGCCCCGCCCCCCGACCTCGCAATTTCCGGCCGAGCCGGAAGCAGCTCTTCTGGCCCGAAGGACCGTTACCTGGCGTGTGTTTCAGTATTTCTCGTTCAAACTCTCTCGTGGATGCCCTCAGCGCCGCGTCCTCCACACCCGGAGTCCCGGGCCCCTCGACCGCTACCGTCCCCGCCCGCGGGGAGCCCCGCCTAGTCGGGGGGAGCTCTGCTGCCGGGGCCGGACCTGAATCTGTTCCGGTAAAATCGCTGCGCGGCTGGTCCTCGCCCGACCTTTCTGCCCCGGTTCTTCTCACCGTCTTCGCTCCCCACCCCGCGCCTTGTCAGGTCCCTCTCGGTGTGTATTCTCCGGCCTTGGAGGGCGGTGTCGGGCCGTCCCGCCTCCTCCCGACCCTGCGTCCTGCAGCCCCCTGTCCTCTCCTGAATGTGCGTCCCCATCCTGGCTCCATTCTGGGGCCCAGCCCTGCCGCTCTCCAGGCGTTCCCGTCACAGTCACCTCTTCAGAGAGGCCCCTGAGCCCAGCGCTGGGGGCGTTCACCCGTCCCCGCCCCGTGACACCCCGCGGTCTCGAATCCCATCCCACCCGGCCGTGCCTGCAGGGTGTGTTTACATTCCCGGGGCCGCCCTGGAAAGCGTGCTCTTGCTGTGCAGGGGCTGCTGCATTCAATTCCTGCGACTGCAGAGGTGCGGCAGGGGGATGACGAGAAAGGAGCGAGATCAAGGGAGAACCAGGGAGACAGAGTGAGATAGTAAAAGCAGGGGTGAACTGAGGTTGGGGGAGTGGGTCCCATGGGCTTGAAAAGACCCGCTAAGAGTGAAGGAGAATGACCTGGGCAGCAGGGGAATAAATGAAAATAGACCAAAAGAGGATCAGCAGAGATGGAAGAGGGCAGAGACGGGGAGGGAGTTACGAGCACCAGTAGCGGCGGGGGCAAGAGAAAGGTAGATCCCGGATTCATTAGCTGTGTTTTTAAATTTCCAGCTTACAGTCCCGTTTACAGGTATTGTGTCAGATTACGATGATGAGGTCTCAGTGGTTTTCCAGTCTTCATCACATGTTGAAAATATTCTTCAGTGCTTAGCAAGTAATTTTACACTATTTTAGTGTGTTCTTACTAAGGATATCGGTAATTTTCTATGTCAACAGTCAAAACCTAGATTAACCACTTAGTGTGATATTCAACATCTTTATCCCCTTTTATGAGCTTTTAACTTAGTGGGCTGTGAACTGAAGTTTCCAGCCAAGTATATATTCCCTTTGTCGTGTCTCTGAAAGTGATCAAGGGTGAGCTGGATTGTCCTCAGAAGTAGTTGGAAGAGAGCCCTTCTGTTCCTGGTGAATAAATCGCTGAGCTGTTTCCATTGTGACCTCCTTTCGTGTTTTCCAGTGCTACCAATTAGGTCTTCTTAAGATCATAAATTTCTTTTTATATTTTATTTTTGGCTGCGTTGGGTCTTCATTGCTGCACGTGGGGTTTCTCTAGTTGCGGCGAGCGGGGGCTGCTCTTCATTGCCATGCGCAGGCTTCTCATCGCGGTGGTTTCTCGTTGCAGAGCACGGGCTCTAGGCACACGGGCTTCAGTAGTTGTGGCACACGGGCTCAGTAGTTGCGGCACATGGGCCCTAGAGTGTGCGGGCTTCAGTAGTTGTGGCTCGCGGGCTCTAGAGCGCAGGCTCAGTAGCTGTGGCTCACGGGCTTAGTTGCTCCGTGGCATGTGGGATCTTCCCGGACCAGGGCTTGAACCCGTGTCCCCTGCATTGGCAGGCAGATTCTCAACCGCTGCGCCACCAGGGAAGCCCCGTGTCATTTTTTGATGGTTTTAATGTGATGTTTTTCTGGAAAAGAGGAGTCAAATACTTGAGATTATTGCGATTAAAATCGTGAAAGGAAGTGGCTCTTGCTCAGGAATAGGAAATGTGATTTTTAGGGGCAGGCAGGGGTGAGAAGGGCAAACCCTGCACTGTCTCATCCAGGCCGTGTCATTCCTGTGAGGACAGACCTGGTTCCTCTCTGCCGGCCTTTCCTGCTGACCCCCTTGCCTGCTCCAACCCAGCAGGGGGTCACAAGGCCACTCGACAAGGGAGGGCCCGGACTTCACAAACTAAGCGAAGATCAAAAGTCTGTCTCCAGTGAGGCGGGAGAAGAGGGCACTTGATTCTGAAGGGAGCCGGAAGAAAGAGCAAGAATGCTGTCGAGGGCCAAGGAGCCGGGGATGGGAGGGAGACTGAGAAGCTCGGGAACAAGGGGAAGGGAAACGTCTTCCCGTCCTCACCCGAGGTGACCCTGTGCTCAGCAGGTACGGAGGAGACCGTGGGGCCGCTCACGCTCACTGCTGCCACGGAGTATGTGGGCTTCCGTAGGATGGGAGGGCGTTCTGAGGAAATGGAAAAACCCGTCTGCCCGTCTCCTGTGTAACACTTCTGAGTCCCTGTGGTTTCACTGGCTGCAGGGGACGGTCTTCGCCACTTAGTGAGTCCCTTCCTGTGTGTGACTGAGGCGTAGGGAGCTGGTATGAGAGGCACACCCTCCGCACCGAGGGAGGATCTCAAGGCTGATTTTGGCTGGGAAAGAAGCTTTCCATGTGTCTTTATTAATTCCTTGATTTGACTGTCAAAACTTTCATTGATTTCTGTCAAATCTGTTTCTCCGTTTTCGTCTTTAAGCTTTTGTTTCTTTTAACTTTATCTTTTTAATTTGTAACAATTTGAAATGTCAACTCACTCTTGTTTCCTTTTACTTTCTCTTGGTTTATAAAGTTGAACAAGCCCTCTCTGCTTCTATTAAGTGTATTTAAAGTTAAACACTTTTTCCAGGTAACAACTGTGGCCCTATTCTATGGAGTTGATATGTTCATTCTTCATGGTGATGATGACTCGAATTGGCAATGGTCATTCGATTGTATTGTAACCCTGTTGTTTAAACTGTCATTGTCTTTCAGATTGTTAGTTTTGTTTGTACTACCTGATTATTGCTTATTTTCATTTTCATTTTACTGTGGTAAGCATATGTGGCCTATTTGATATATTCTGTTTTGCATTTAGCTAAAATTTTCTCTGTGGCTAATTACAAAGTCAAATTTGATGTGTGCACTGGATGTACTGAAGTCTCTACGTTGGAATAAGTGGGGATAAAAAGTCTCTACATTTTGGATGTACACGCATATACACACACGTTCATTAAAGTATGTGTGTATGTGTCTTCCAGGGAATCTGGCCTCCTGGGAAGAAGGCCAGACTCAGGGACCATGCCCTGCCCACTAGCCCTGCAAAGCTCCACCTGCTCTGAACGATAAGACTAGAGCACTTTCTCAGCCCGTCGCGCTGCGCTTTCTGCCACTGCCCCACCCTACAGCCTAGAGGTATGTATCATTACTTTGGGATCTTGCCTCTGAGCCTGGGACAGTTGGTGGGCAACTGGATGGTCCCTCCCTGCCCTCCTGTGCTTGCAGGACTGTAGCGGGCGTGAGCAGTTGCCTGGTTCTGGGCACACTCAGAAAATACCGCACAGCCTCCAGGCAGCAAGGACCTCCTCTTTAGCTTTCCACGCGTGTTCTCTTGTACCTGTTCCAGGGCCTCCGAGGGGTCTTAGGAAGTTGTTCATTGAGCCTGGCCAGCCATGGACTCCCTCCCCAGGCCTTGCAGGCAGGCTCAAATGGTTGCTGGTCCCCAAGATGACTTAGAATGTTTTCTAGAGGCTCAGGCAGGCCAGAATGTCCTCATCTAGTCTCTCCTGTCAGAATGGCCACTCCAGGCCTCCTGAGACAAACTTGGGAAATTTGTGGACACTCGTTTCTGGAAAGGGCACTGGGAATGACTTGAAAGCATCTGTGTGTTTGTATTTTGTGGAACCCTCTGTAGTCCGCTTCAGTAAACTCAGTACCCTGCGTGGATAGAGAAAGCTGATTCAGTGTTTTTTAACAAGAGTGATAAATCATAATTGTTGTAATAAGTACAATCACGGTGATTAACATCAATAATGAAAATGGTCCTTATGACAAGAGCAATAATAAGAAGAAACTGAAGGAGATGGGAGAATAGACTACAGACCTCAGTGAATG